CATCTGCTCCCCTGAAGCTTGGGCCCCTGTGAATACAGATCGTGTAGGGATGCGCGCGCATGCGCGGCTGGCTTCAGAACACAGGCTGTTTCCTTGTCTCTCTGAGTCTCAAAGATCCAGGGTACCAAGGGCAAAGCACCCTCAGGGCCCGCCTCCCTGCATCTGATCACGGGTCCTTCTCCAGCCTTCACTTGACTAGACAGATTTCCCCTTGCATGTTCCCAGGAGGCACTTACCTAGGGAAGGTCCGAGAAAGGAGTAGCCCTGGGCCGTGGGCAAAACCCAGAGGGAAGCAAGGTCTGGTTATACAGAGAGAGATGGGATGGGGACATGCATGGGGCTGTCACATGCTAAGCTGGGCTCTCTCTTACAGCGGAGAGCGTATTGCACAGCCTGTGAGCCTGTGAAGAAGTATAAGGTAAGCCAGAAAGCCCCATGACATTCTTGGGGTAAGCGGGAAAAGGTCCTCGTTTGCCCCCAAAAATACTCTCAAGCCCCGAGCCAGCCTCCTAGAAGGGAGGGAGGAAGGTACTATTAAGCAAGTCCACAACCCTAGGGAGCTCGGCCAGGGGACCCAGGAGCCGTGGGAGTTGTCCTATCACCTATACCTGCCTCTTCCTAAAGACACTGCCTCCCATCACAAACCAACCATCTCTCAGCCGGCCTGCCAGCTGGAACCTGAAGTTGGCAAAGGAGGAGACATCGTGGCCATGTCCTCAACCACCTGTACCAGGCCTGCTCTGTCTAGGCCTCACTGCGAGGGCCCATGCCATTGACTACTACCTGGCCAACTTCTTCTCTGAGTTTCCCTGCCACTTCCTGTACCGGTGAACTCTTGGGGAAAGCATGGGCCGCCTTCCTCTCAGCTTAATCCTCTCCCCCACACCACCCCCCCTTGTAGGGCAGCAGTGTCCACACTCAACCTTTAGGAAGGTTTGAAGCAGGAGCAGAGGCAGTCATAGGGCGCCATAAGCCCGAGATACCATCCTTACTGCCTAGGTCCCTTGTGGTTGTTTGTTGGTTGGTTGGTCCATAGTTTTTTGAAACAGAGTTTCTCTGTGTAACAGCCCTGGCTGCAGCGCACTTTGTAGACCAGGCTGGCCTCGGTGCTTAAGTCGTTTGGAAGAGAGTAATAAAGAGGCCCCTGAGAAATCCACCAAGGCTTCCCACTCTCCTCTTTTGCCATCTTGGAGCCTCTGGGTCCTGCTCTAACCTAAGGGTCGGGTGTGGCTCTCTTAGGACAGCAACTACATTGTGTTAAGGCTGGGAGTGTGCCCAGCATATTTACGTCCTCACGACTGGGCAGCTATCATCATGGCTTTGTGCCCCTACCGCTACAGCATAGTAGCTTTCCAAGTCCACTCAGAATATCCTGGTCTGCCCCAGGGAGCTGCCAAAGAAGAAATCCTCCAGGGAAGAGCCGAAAGCTTTTGAGGACGAACTCCCTGAAAAGGAGGGTCCTATCTCGAGGCAGAAGAAGCAGCTTCTGGTCGACTGTCTCACCACCATCATCAGGTACCAACTGCTCTGTGCCCCCTTCATCCTCACCCTCCCACCTCCCCAGCTGCATCGGAGAAAGCTTCGGAAACTCCAATACGCCCCTCTCTGAGGAAAAGAGAATTCCTTTGCAAGATCCCTCTCCTGGAGGACCCTTGGGACAGAACAGGTCTAACTGAGCTGGTTAGACAGACCTCCAGAGCTGAGTCCTGATGATTTCCCTTTCTACGGCTGGTCCTGATGTTATCTAGAGCCAGTTGCCTATGACCTCGGGAGCTCTGCCCTTTATCTGTATTGTGACTTGCTGGCTCTGCCTGCACCACATCCTGGTCGCCTCTAAGATTATAGGGATCAAAGATGCCTTGTTCCAAGGGCTTTCCTCCCAGACCTAGCACTTGATAGTAAACACAGTAGCCAGAACTGTCCCTTAGGAAGCAGGGGATCCAGACAACATTGTCCTAGCTGAAAGCCCTTTCATTATATTCCATCCCTTCTTCTTTTTCTTTTTCTGTCCAGGGGCCTACTGGAAGACAAGAATTTCCATGAGGCTGTGGACCAAAGCCTGGTGGAGCAGGTTCCTTACTTCTGCCAGTTCTGGAACGAGCAGTCGGCCAGGTTCCTGGCCCAGAAGAGCAGCTTGTACTTAATGCCCATCCTGTCCCTTCCCTCCAGCTGCTTTGAGGAAGGAAAAGACAAAGAGGGGGAGGACAAATATGGCTATGGAAAGAACGCCGGGGAAGGTGATGAGGATGATGAAGAGGAAGAGGAAGAAGAGGAGGAGGCAGAAGAAGAGGAAGAGGAGGAGAGAGAAGAGGAGGAGCTGATCAAGGAGGAGATGGAAGAGGAGATAGACAAGGACGTGAAGTTGACCTGGTCGGAGATCAAGGCCACCGCACAGCCACAGCCCTCTGAGTCCCAGCAGTCCCTGCAGTGGCAATGGCAGCAGGATCTGAAAATCGTGATCAAGGAGGAGCAAGAGAACGATGAGAAGGAGGCCATTGGAAGGTGAGCCGCTGGGACCAGAGGAGAACCCGGGAAGAGGCTTACACTGAGGCAGCCCCCAACCCGCGCATGACGCTCTTCCTAACTCGGGCCCCAGGGACAACCTCTTGGTGTAGTGTAAGATTCGGGTGGGAGGATTTTCCAAAGAGCAGACCCCAGTTTTATGTAGTGTGTGATACCCGATTGATAGCCTCTATCAGCATAGCGCTACCGGGAGTGGGGTGGTAGGCTTCAAAGTCTCTTCACTAGCAGGGAGGGCCAGAGGACAAGTTCCACTTTTCTGATACCACTTTCTCCTGGGGCTTTTTTGGAGGGGGCGCAGTTTATTCTGTCCTTTGAGATTCCTTGGCCCCACACAGCCAGCCACTCCTGCATCCTCTCATCACTACCATCCATCCTCCAAACCTGGCTCTGCCGTGGCCACTGCCAGGTTTGGTTCCTAGCCACACACCTTAGCATCTGTGACATGGCAGCAGGGTGCCCCCATCGTGTTAGGGCTGGGAGGGGTAGGGGTTCCCGTGGGAATCTGTGCAGAGCCCCCCCTACCACCGCCGCCC